ACCTGAGAGAGGCATATTACCGGGTAAGAATAAAGGAAGGAGATGAGTGGAAAACTGCCTTCAACTGTCCTATGGTGAGCTATCAATTCAAGGTCATGCCATTTGGACTACAGGGGGCCCCAGCCATGTTCATGCAGTTGATTAATGAGGTCCTACATGATCACTTATACAAAAGTTTTTGGTGTATCTTGATGATATCCTGATATACAGCACGAATATGACTGATCACATAAAGTTGGTGAGAGAAGTGTTAAAGAAACTGTTGAATGCCAAGCTTTATGCCAAATTGTCAAAATGTGAATTTCACCAGACCCGATTAGATCATCTTGACTACAGAATTTCCAATGAGGGCATTGAACTGGATCCAGCCAAGGTGAAAGCTATAATCGAATGGCAGCCCCCAAAACTTGCAAACAGCTCCAGAGCTTTTTAGGTTTTGCCAACTTTTATCATCAACTCATGCCCTGTTTTGCCGAGATTGCCCTACCCCTTACAGAACTACTCAAAACAGGCAAAAGAGGATGGAAGCCATGACCGGGCCAATCACTAGCATGGACGATGGGCTGTCAAACAGCTTTTGAGAATTTAAAGAGACTATTTGCTGCTGAACCGGTCCTAAAGCACCCCTGCCCAGGGGAGCCCTTTTTAATTCAAGCCAATGCCAGTGATGTGGCAGTTGGAGCTGTATTACTGCAAAAGAACCAAAGTGGAGTCCTGCAACCCTGCACCTACACTTCTAAAAAATTTACTGAAAGCAAGCAGAGATGGGCAATCTGGGAGAAAGAGGCCTTTGTAATTAGGTGGGGGCTGTTAAACTGGCAACACTATCTAGAAGGGAGCAAGGTGCTTTTGAAGTATGGACAGATCACAAAAACCTAGAGGCACTGAAAACTCCCCGCAAATTGTCCCCAAAGCAAGTACGGTGGGCACAGTACTTTAACCGCTTCAACTTCACTCTAAAGTACATACCAGGAGGAAAAAACTTCCTAGCTGATGCGCTATCCCGATTACCCAATACAAAAGCGAACGTGAAGAAGTTAACAAGGCAATTATCTCCAATCCACAAACTGCCGCTCAACCTATGCCTCGCAGGGTCCCTAATGCTGATGATCCTGGGGTAAAGAAAATAAAACAAGAGCTCCTCACTAATGGTTCAATGGTTCAAAGATAATCAAACCTCCCTAACATGCAGAGATGGCTTGGCTTACAAGGGGGGGGAGAACTGTATTTGCCTGAAGCCCTCCATCTTAATGCTGTCAAACACAGCCATGATGTTAAACAGGCTGGACACTTTGGATATTTGAAAACTCTCCACCTCACCCGCCGGCAATTTTAGTGGCCGGGGCTGAAACAGGATGTTGAAAACTATGTAAAAAGTTGTACTGTATGTGCCACAATGAAAAGAATCCCAGGAAAAACCTCTGGATTACTGCAGCCCATGGCAGACCCTTCTCAACCATGGGAAGAAATAGCTATGGACTTTATAGTAGACCTACCTGAAAGTAGAGGAAATACTGTCATATGGACTGTGATAGATCTGTTCTTGAAGCAGGCTCATTTCATCGCCTGCAAAGGACTCCCATCTGCCCAACGACTGACTAAATTGTTCCTGAAACATATCTACCAGCTGCATGGCACCCCTAAGCGAATAATTTTGGACGGGGGGGTGCAGTTCACAGCAAAGTTTTGGAGGAGTTTTCTTAAATTAATTGGATCATCTCAAGGCTTATCATCTGCTTTTCATCCAGCCACAAATGGTGCTGCAGAATCTGCTAACAAAATGGTGGAGCAATATCTCAGATGCTACGTTTCCTACCAACAGACAAACTGGACTGACCTCCCCTTCACAGAGGTGGCATACAAAAATTCTGTTCACAGCAGTACCGGCTACACGCCTTTCAGAGTAGCCACGGGAAAAGAGTTCAGCCCAATACCTGAATACCCTCAGGTGCCCTCCCCCTCCCAGACACTTAATCAATGGGTGAGGGGATGGGAAGAAGTTTAGAGAAACATGAAAGCTGTGTTAAAAAGTCTTCCGAGACCTACAAAAACCAGGCTGATAAAAAGAGGGCTTCCCAAAGAACATACCAAGTTGGGGAAAAGGTTTATTTGTTAACTAAATATTTATGCCTCAAATTGCCCAGCAAGAAATTGAGACCAAAATTCTTGGGGCCTTTCCCCATAGTAAGGATCATCAACCCCGTCACCGTAGAACTAAAATTCCCTAGACTTTTAGGAAGAATTCACCCAGTCTTCCACTGCAGCTTGTTGAAACCTTATCGGGGCTCCACTTTAAGACCTCCCCCTAAGAAGGCACCCGGGCCCCTCACAGTTGTGGGACAGACCCACTATGAAGTGAAATGTATTCTTTACTCTAGAATTTTTAAAGAGAAATTGCAGTACCTAGTACAATGGAAGGGGTACTCGCTGTCCAAGGCTACTTGGATGAAATCTAATGATGTGAAGGCTGACCGACTCATCAAAAAGTTTCATGAGAAAAACCCCAACAAACCAAGGGATAATCCCTGACATATGCTTTTGTTCACATACAGGACCTATCCTTTTTGTAAGGGAGGCCCGATGTCAACGCTGCTAATATTGGATATTATTGCTTTGACAAGATATGCAGAACTGTCTGGTATTTTTAGAGTTAATTCTGATGATAGTGGGAGGGAGGAGAAAGATAAGGACTGTGCATGGGAAGGGAACGGAAGTGAATCTTTGCCCTCCAGGTTGGTTGGAAAATGTGAATCATGACAGCAAAATAGGGGAGGGGAATAGCCTGGAATGTTATGTGCAAAGGAAGGAAATTCAGATCTTAGCATCCATCCATTCTGTGCCAACAGTCTGTTACACTGTAATAAAGGTTTTTAGGATAAACAATGCCTGGAAGTTCTTTGAAGTGTTTCATTAATCAGAACTTTGATACTATGCTCCAGTATTCTTTTCAACAGTTATCAATGATGCCATTGTCCTTCCTATTTGGGTTTTTGTTTTTTGTTTTTTTGGTCTTCTGGAAGCCATGATGGCTGAGGTTAAGGAAGCTAAGGAATATCAACATGATCAGACTCCTGGAACAGAATCATCATTGGCAGTCAGGGATTCATATTCTGCAGTCCCCATAAAAGCTTTGGTGCTTCCTGCAAAGGCTGGACGTTTTTCCCCTTTTTTTCCATCAGGAATAAAATATTTTTTTGGAGAAATTCATATAGGGGAGCATGAGGGTATTACTTTTATTTAATTATTTTTCATAACAGGTAGTCCTCGACTTACAGCAGTTTGCTTAGTGACCATTCAAAGTTACAGTGGCACTGAAAAAAGGGACCACTTTTCATGCTTATATGACCATTGCAGCATCCCCATGGTCATGTGATTTACACTTGGGTTATGACGGTTGCAGTGACCCAGGGTCATGTGATCAACTTTCTGACAAGCAAAGTCAATGGGGAAGCCAGGTTCACTTAACAACCGTGTTACTAATTTAACAACTGCAGTAATTTGCTTAACACAATGTGGCAAGAAAAGTCGTAAAATGGGGTAAAACTCGCTTAACAAATTTCTCACTAAGCAACATAAATTTGGGGCTCAATTGGGGTCGTAAGTCAAGGACAACCTGTATTTAAATCTCTACTTTCCCCTAAGTAGAATGGAAGGTTTGCCATATTTCCTCTTTTTTGTCCAAGAATGGTCACTTGTCTCTACTCGAGGGTGTGCCCCCATGCCATTGCAAGTGAAGTTGCATAAAAATTAATATAGCCAGTTCAGATGACTTATCTTTCTCTGTCTGTAAATTCTAAATAGTATTTTCATGTACCTCAATTTTCATTCATCCCCATTTAATTTAACCATGTGCATAACATTTACTACTGTACAATGGAGTGAATTTAAGAGGAGCAAACCATTTGGCATTAGGCTAGTTTATTCTTAATCAAATCAGCACTGAGCAACACAAATTAATACATTCCTTGACTTATTACTGGAGCCCAATCCAAATTACCATAAATCTGTTCTGGAATAAAAGTCTCTCTATTTTCCTCACCTCTTAATGCATGCAGTATTTCTACATTTGTACTCCTAGAACATTCTTTTCATATCCATCAGATGGTGGGTGCAAGGATGCAAAACTAGGAATTGGAAGGTTACCTAAGTGGACTGGCCATGTTTATATTAAGCCCAAACACACATACATACCCTCATTAAGTGACCCTACCTTCTCATACTAGAATAAGTAAACTAGAATATCTGAAGCATTTTGCTGTGAGCCAGGATGCCCCAAATTCAGTTTTCATAAGCAGGCTTATACAAATCCCTGTTCTCTTGTTTTCAGATCGTTTATCTGCAATATGGGGATGAAAACAGATTGGATTCAGACTTAGTCATGCTTAGATCAATTCTGTTAAAATCAAAGAGAAAGACATGATGAACACAAATCTCATTATTTCCACTAGGTTTATTCATTGAAAAGATTTATTTTGTATTGAAGTAAGGCTGTGTGATTTTCTGTACTAAAAATGTGTGAAGTATAAAGGTGAAGCATAATATCTGGGAGATTTTTTTTCTATTTGTTGTTGACTTCTAAGTTCATCACCAGAGGTTGTGTTTAGAGGAGCTCTGGAAACTAAGATCTGAATAGAACTATTTTAGAGTATTAGCATTTCACTTAATTTATTTATTGACTTTGTTTCTAGAACTGTCCATGTGATATTTTGCTGATTTTTCTTTTAAACCATTCTGTCAAAATGGAATGCATTCTAATGCTCAAATGTATCTTAAAAATGTGTCTTAAAGCTATTGGATTTTTAAATCTCTTTAAATTTCTTCAATCTTTTAAAATATTGTTGTGCTTTCTATACTTATCTTCCCAATTTTAATTGGCCATGTTGATTTTTACATTATAATTATATAGTAATGATGCTATCATGTTTGTTTTTACTGTTGCCAAAGGTCCTTAACTGAATGCATAAGTAATCTCAATCTTTCTCTCTCTTTCCTCTTGACAGAGGTTCATTTGAAGATTCTACAACCAGATTTTATACAGCTTGTGTGGTAGAAGCTTTTGCCTATTTGCATTCCAAAGGAATCATTTATAGGGACCTCAAGCCAGAAAACCTCATCCTAGATCACCGAGGTTATGCCAAATTGGTGAGTGGTGGGGATGTTTTCTTCCCAAACAGCAGTTAAAAATTACATCGCCCTGTAGTTAAACTTCAGTTGCCTCTTCCATTGTAATAAAATGCCTTTTCTAACAGCCCTAAAACTGTACTTCTAGCCAAGAGGCAGTATTCAACTCTGCAATTCTGGGACAAATCAATTTATAAAAGGTTTAATGCAAACAGATTAATCTGATTGTTTCTGGGAGCCAAATAAGCAAAAAAAAATAAAAATAATAATAAATAAAATAAAATTCAGAAGTTTATTCCCTTCTGTTGTGCCCTTCTGATATGGGAGCAAGATTTTAATAATTTGAAGAAATAACCAAATATGATTCTAAGATTTATCCCACTATGACTTTAGTTTTTTAACAATTTTATTTATTTGTATTTCATATTTCTAGACTGCCCAGCTCCTTCAAGGAGGGGCCCTGGGCAGCGTGCAATATAATCAAATTTACCCTCTAAGAAGTTATCCCATGTTAAAATGATTTGATTTCCTATTGGCCTTCATTTTTTTTAGGGGAACTTAATTTTAAAATGTTCATGTCAGGATTTCAGAAATTCTAGACATGGGCCTTATTCAAATTGAATTTGAACTATAATCAAAGTTAATGGGAAACTAGGAATCAAAGGAAACCTTTCCCCAAATTTCCCACATTCCCCAGATATATATTTGTAGATGATGATGATGATGATGATATCCATTCAGTCATGCCCAACCCTTGGTGATTCTATGGGCCAAGTCTCTTCACATCTTCCAATCTTGTACTATTTCTTTGAGTTGTTCTATGCTCTAGCTCAGGGGTCTTCAAACTTGGCCCTTTTATGACTTGTGGACTTCAATTCCCAGAATTCCTCAGCCAGCGTGCCTGGCTGAGGAATTCTGGGAGTTGAAATCCACAAGTCATAAAAGGGCCAAGTTTGAAGACTCCTGCTCTAGCTGGTGTCAGTTTTGATAGTGTCCAGCCACCACTGTACATAGTCAATTAATTCTGCCCTTTATCGTATAAATATGATATTATAGGATTCTTTTTCTGCACAAGAATGTTGGCCATTTAGAGGAAATAGGAATAATGTGATAGAATGCAGGAAGATGAAAAAGCAGTAAGATCACAATCCTCCAAAAAATATAATCATAGCATCTGTCCTTCATCTGAATCTGATAAAGTTATAATTTGGCCTACAGGTGGCACTATGACATTTTGAGTTGCCATTTCTTGAGTTATGGAGATTGGGGATTGGAACTGCAGAAAGGTATAATGGTACTGAATACAATGTATGTGGTGGTGCCTGTTACTGATCTATATTATTTATATGGTTTAACACTTAGGTAATAACCAGCTAGAATACATAAGCTAATCATTAAAGAGCTGTAAAACTGAAAGGTTTAGTTACCTTTGTTAGATCATTTTACTAAATGGAAATTGTTAATGCTTTTTTCTAAATCTCAAGAGTTGAAATATGCTCCTCAAGGGTTTCTTTGGAACTCTTCCTCTGAGAATTTTCTTGTGAAGCCTATTCTTTAGATGTACTTGTGCTCATGAAGGCCTTTGTTGTGACCATCTCTTTATATCTTGTGCCTGCATAAGTGCTTTTAACTTTTTGTCTTCCTTGATGGGTGTGTGAACTTTCTTTCACAGGTCGATTTTGGTTTTGCAAAAAAAATAGGATTTGGAAAGAAAACATGGACTTTTTGTGGAACTCCAGAGTACGTAGCCCCAGAGATCATTCTGAACAAAGGTCACGACATTTCAGCAGACTACTGGTCACTGGGAATCTTAATGTATGAGCTCTTGACTGGCAGGTATGGGCATTGAATTGGAGCTACATATAAAAATAGTTCAGCAAACTGGAGAATATTTCTGCTGTTGTCACTTTGATTAGAAGAGTTGGGATTCAGAGGTGGCATATGCTGTGACAAACAAAAATGGTGTTTAAAAATGTACTGTGGAATTACTTATTACGATTTTGCAAGGATTCACAACCTGCTTTCTAACAACCAAAAGTCTTTGAATGGCCACTATAAGAGGAAAGGGTATTGGCGAGGAAAAATTGGTGTTTCTAGTCATTTCATTCTAATTGGTGAATACTTCCCTGTCCCCATGCCAAATCAACCTGCATTCTTCTACCGGTTCACCAAATCATGAGTTCATGGTACCAGTTAGATATGTTTAAATTGATGCATGCATAAAAACTGAACTTCAGTCTTCAAGAAGGAACTTGAAACATCTCCCCAAAATATAAGGCAATCAAAACAAAATGGAAACATGCTAGAAAACAGCTAGATAGTATTTTGAAACAACACATTTCTAAAGAAAAATTAAACAGAGTTTTTATTTCTAAAAAAAAAAAAAATCACTGAAAATATTGAATAGGAAGAATAAAAGGGAGACAGTTTGGTCTAGTGCTTAAGGCACCAGGCTAGAAAGCAAAAAACTGTGAGTTCAAATTCCGCCTTAGCCATTAAAGTCAACTGACAGAACTTGGGCCAGTTACTCTCTCTTAGCCCCAACTAACCTCCAGGGTTGCTGCTGTGGGGAAATTAAGGAGGAAGGTGATATGTTTCCCGCCTTGAGTTATTTGTTAAATTAATAAAGATGGTATATAAATAATTAAATAAATTAAAGATTTCTGAATGTAATATTTTTGAGGCTGCTAGCTGAACCACATTGGGACCACACTGAACCACACTGAAGAGACAGGCCAGCAAGTGGGGGATTTAAATCATTCTTTTGTACAAAAAAAAAAAAAATCCTTTCAAAATCAAAATATTCTTTTAAATAGGAATTATTACCTATTTCATGGAATAACACTTACGAAAGTCTTTAAACATTTAGAAATGCTGTATCTCTAGTAGATAATAATAATATAATATAATGTAATGTAATGTAATGTAATATAATATAATATAATATAATATAATATAATATAATATAATAATAGTAATAGTAATAGATCCTTATACTTGTGCCAATCTGTGCATCTTCTAAGGCAGGGCTTTTCAACCTTTTCATCCATTGTACCACTTTTAGGATATGGCAACATCCGAGTACCACCAGTCGCCTAGCAAGGTGTCAAAAACTTGATGACCAAAAAAAAGAAACAAAGTAAAAAAGTGATAAAATATAGGTAGTCCTCGACTTACACCAGTTCGCTTAGTGACTGTTCGAAGTTACAATGGCACTGAAAAAAGTGCCCCCCAAGCCACAGCCGAGCAAGACACCTGCCTGCCCACCCAGCCGCGCTCTTCCTCCTGTCCAAGGTTTTCATTGTTGTGAGCATTTCTGTTGAGGATTGGCAGTGGGGGTGAGGTGGGGGTGTTTGGTTTTTATTCCCCCCATCTGCTGAGTGGTTGCAGCAGGTTTTGGTCACTTCACATGACCCTGGGACACTGTGACCGTCATAAATATGAATCAGTAGCCAAGCATCTGAATGTAAATCACAAGACCCTGGAGACGCTGCAACATTCCAGCTGATCGGCATTTCTTCTGGGGTCAGCAGAAGTGCCAATCACCAGCTGATTGGTGCTTCTTCACGACTCAGCAGAAGCACCAGGATCAACGCAATATGAACTGCAATAATTCCTGATCATGCCTAAATAAATGTTTTCCCAATATTTTGCATATGAATTTCCATAAGCATTTTGGATAAAATAATAGCACAAGGCTTATTATCAAACTACTGTTTATAAAATATTCCAGAAAAATGTAAAATGTTATAAGCTCTGAGCAATGGTTAATAGTCTCTCACAGGGTTCCAGATTTTTCTCAATCTTGGCAAATTTAAGATGGGTGAAATTTAATTTCCAACATTCGTGAATTAAAGTTCTAAGGCTGAAAATATTCTAAGTCAGTGATGGCGAACCTTTTAGAGACTGAGTGCTGGAATTGCAACCCAAAACCCACTTATGCATCGTCAAGTGCCAGGCGGGTGTGGCCCATTGGGTGGGTGTGGCTGCAGTGGTAATGGCAGACTGGGTGGGACTAAAAAGTTTAATCAATCAATTCTAACTTTGCAAGATCTTTTTTTTCCCCACAAGAAGTTGAAATTGACTGATTGAACCTTTTTTTTTTTTTTGCACACGGCAGAGGCCTAAAGTGAAAAGTTTTTTATAAAACCAAGCTGAAAGCCTAGGACTGGGGTGACGGCACACGTGCCCACAGAGAGGGCTCTGAGTGCCGCCTCTGGCACCCGTGCCATAGGTTTGCCACCACTGGTCTAAGTAGTGAAGATAGGAAATAGTTTTAGGAAATCAGGATGTACAGTATATCCCAAATTTGGAATCTAGTCTGCCCCTTTCAGCCTTGAAAACTTATTTTAAAAAATAGCACTCAAAGACAGAAAAGCATAAAAGTACACTCTAAGATAAGTATAACTGCATATCTGTATAATCTGAGTCCCATTTATTTGTCATTTGTGATCCTTGTGATAATTGGCCAAACACTAAAACTTTGGTTTTCTGGTAGTTTATTGATAGCCTTTATTCTGTATTCTGATAAAAGCAGTGTCTTAAGTAATTTTCTTATTCTCACCTTTGATATAGACATAGTAACTACATAAGCAGTATATAATAATGCTTAAATAACACAATCATCCAAAATCAGCTTATTTGCAAAAAATAAATAAATATATCACTAGATTTTAATTAGCATTTTTGTTCTTTTTCTATAGTCCACCTTTCTCAGGCCCAGATCCCATGAAAACATATAACATCATACTAAGGGGGATTGACATGATTGAATTTCCAAAGAAGATTGCCAAAAATGCTGCTAACTTAATTAAAAAACTATGCAGGTAAATTCTTTATATGCGTTAGTAATCTCTCAAAGAAAGAGATTATAATTGATTTTGACATTTTGTTTCATTCTTTATTACTGTCATTCTTAGCCACATATATATAAGCTTTTTGTAATATAAACACACACACACATACCAGAAAAAGCTTTGATTTCCAACTTTCTTTTATAACTGTTTTCTTGTTCTTTTATTTTTAAACAGGGACAACCCATCAGAAAGATTAGGTAACTTGAAAAATGGAGTCAAGGATATTCAAAAGCACAAGTAGGTATATTTCAGAAAAAAGTAATCCTCTGTTTTGTTTTTTGAACAAGTTTTATTAATTTTCCATTTTTACAAAGCTTTAGGTATTAAGGAAGCAACTTGGTGGTTGGGTAATACGTAATCCAATAACATGCTTTTCCATACATATATCAGTTTACATTATCAAAAATTTCATCTCTGTTTCTCTTAGTTATTATACCAGATTTTAAATTAATACATTGCTAATTATAACTCAATCATTTGAAACATTTATCAACAACTTTTGATTTATATGCCTTCTAATCCTGTTTTTAACTTTTATCTGATTTCATTTACAGTATTTCAATTGGCTTAATGTCCATAATATTTAGATTTCGGATAACCCACGGTTCCCTTAGTTCATTACAGAATAGTTATCATATCTAAAATACACTTATTATTTATTCAAATAGATTCTTAGTTTATTCCACAATCATATTCTGCATATTCTACTTCTCATTCTCATCATTGCTTAGTAATAAAATAATCTTTATCCTCTGAATCCATCTTCTATGTTATGATTCAAAACTATTGTTCTAGTAACTAATTTATTTCCCTTATAGATATAAATCCTAAATATTAAATCAATTAATAGCTTTTAAAATCTCGTTATCCCATTAAGTAAGATTTAAAGCTCTTCCATTAGAGGTCACATTAAAAAAAACATTTTTAAGTCTAACTCTGGCCTTCCTTTTGTGCCAAACTTGCTTCCATAACAGAGCTTTTAAATCCTCGGGTGGATCTCCCTCCATTCCTGCATATGTCATTTGAATCAAGGGGGACCATCCAGTCATCAGCCTATCAAGGAAGCTAGTCCCTTCATAGTCATTAAATTTTTGGCCTGATAGTTTAAATCTCCATATTTGGCTTAGTATATTTGTCATGAGTTCCGGGCTGATCTTCTTCTTCTTCTGATTTTGGCTGGTTTCGATGAAAAGTCATATTCAGTGTTGTAGTTGTCTTTTGGTCATCTGGGTTGTCTGAATTCTCAGTGTATTGTGTATGTAAGTCTTCAGGATCTTCCGTCTTAGTGTTGCTTTCTTCAGTTTCTGTTGCTGTTGAAATTGTAGATTCTTTGGATGCAATCAAAGTTTGGATGTCAGAGTTCTGAGTAGCTTGTAGCTGGCATTCTTTAAAATCCACTTTAGTGTTAATTCCTTCTTCTTCTGTTACTTTTTGGGTTGTAGGTACATCTATTGAAGTCAGGGCTGTGTTTTTTAGCTTTAAGGTGGCACACATATCTTTCAGTCTGGAATTCATTAGCTCAGTAGTTTCTAGGATTTTTTCAAGTATATATTTGAAGTTAAGCTGTGGGTGGTGTTCCTCCATTTCTGTGATATTTGCAAGTAGTCCTTTAGTGGAGGCTATTTTTAATAAAAGTCAATAAGAATCCACCTCCACTATAGAGAATTATTTTCACCACCCAGCTGTTTCAGATTCTTATCTTTTTTGATAATGACAAGGACAAATTTTAGTCTCAGAAGTCTCCCAGTCAAAAAATAATTTCACTTGATGTACCACGTTTCGCCACAAGATGTACCTAGTGCCATGCACAGTTAAGCTGTTATCCAGTTCAAAGAAGAAAGAAAGAAATATTCCTTTTTTTTCCAGCTTAGCAAAGAAATAAAACAATAAGTCTCTGTAAGAGTAAAAAAATTTTTGAGAGCCCAGGTATCCAGAAGTTACAAGTCCAAATATTTAGTCGTTTAGTCTAGTTGTTCTATTTTTTTCCCCCTTTCCTTAGTTTTGTATTTCCAAAGTAGGCAGGAGCCGCAGAATTGAGAAGGGGGAAGAAGGTATTCAAAGGCTTTTACAGGAAAATAGATGGGAAATAGGAAATGTAAGGTAAGATCTCACCCAACTCCTCCAGGTTGCTTTTGTTGTGCTTAGTAGTAATTTGGGCTTTCGGCAGGAACAGCTTGTAATAGTAGTAAAGTTGGAAGGGATCTTGGAGGTCATCTAGTCCAACCCCCTGCTCAGGCAGGTAACCCTACACCATTTCGGACAAATGGCTGTCCAGTCTCTTCTTAAAAACTTCCAGTGTTGGAGCATTTACTGCTTCTGGAGGCAGGCTGTTCCACTGACTTAATTGTTCTCACTGTCAGGAAGTTTCTCCTTAGTTCTAGGTTGCTTCTCTCCTTGATTAGTTTCCACCCGTTGCTTCTTGTCCTGCCTCCAGGTGCTTTGGAAAATAGCTTAATTCCCTCTTCTTTATGGCAGCCCCTGAGATATTGGAATACTGCTATCATGTCCCCCCTTGTCCTTCTCTTCGTTAAACTACACATACCCAATTCTAGCAACCGTTCCTTATATGTTTTAGCCTCCAGTCCCCTAATCATCTTTGTTGCTCTTCTCTGTACTCTTTCTAGAGTCTCAACATCTTTTTTACATCGTGGTGACCAAAACTGGATGCAGGATTCCAAGTGTGGCCTTACCAAGGCATTGAAGAGTGGTACCGTCTTTATCGCCGAGTCGCCTTCCTAGAACGTCATCTTATATGCCGGAAACTACCAATATTTCCGACATATAAGACGACTTGGCGTATAAGACGACCCCCGTCTTTGGTGCCGAGTTTAGCACTTCCGGAAGTCGTCTTATACGCCGGCATATACGGTATTAATACTTCACGTGATCTTGATTCTATCCCTCTGTTAATGCAGCCTAGCACTGTGTTGGCCTTTTTGGCAGCTGCAGCACACTGCTGGCTCATATTTAGGTGATTGTCTACTAGAACTCCGAGGTCCCTCTCACAGTTACTACTATTGAGCATGGTGCCACCTATGCTGTATTTGTGCATTTGGTTTTTCTTGCCTAAATGTAGAACCTTGCTTTTTTCACCATTGAATTTCATTTTGTTAGTTAGTGCCCAGTGTTCAAGTCTGTCCAGATCCTTCTGTATCTTAAGCCTGTCTTCTGGAGTGTTGGTTATTCCTGCCAGCTTGGTATCATCTACAAATTTGATGAGTTCCCCATCTATCCCTTCATCCAAATCGTTGATGAAGATGTTGAAGAGTACTGGGCCCAGAACAGAGCCCTGGGGCACCCCACTACACACTTCCCTCCATATAGATGCAGTGCCATTGAGGACCACTCGCTGAGTACAGCCGGTCAGCCAGCTACGGATCCATCTGGTGGTGATTCTGTCTACCCCACATTTTTCTATCTTATCAAGTAGTAGGTTGTGATCTACTTTATCAAATGCTTTATTGAAGTCCAAGTAAATTATGTCCATGATCGGCCATGTTATTGTCAGTCCAAAGGAGCTGCCTCGGATCCAACAGAAGGGTTGCTGCCCTTCCGCGGTCATTGAGGGTCCTCCTCAGTGGTGGTCGCCCCTCCAGGGCGACCTTTGACCCTTTGCAGGGTCTTCCGATGAAGAAAAACCGGGCAGTGGTTAGAATCAGCTAGCACCCAAATTCAACAATATAATAATATAATATAATTAACAGAACATTTCAACAACATAATAAATAAAATTGCTTCAGAAGCCTATCAGCAATTCCTGTTTAACATAATATAACATCAACAGGAAGCAGGTTAAATGTAAATAGGATTACAGATATCAACAAGTCATCAACAAATATCTATCATGGAAAGATATTTATTAGCTTTTTTATTTTTTACATGTTTGAAGAAAACAGATAGCCAATATTAAAGTATCTGTCCATCTGCTTCAACATCTGGGAATCTCATGTAATTTAATAGACTTATTCTATTATTATTATTTTTTCAGCACAAATTAGGCATCTGCGTCTGGACAGATCCTTGATTCAGAATTTTCTCTAGAAAATTCTTGATACCATCAGAACTGCCACAATCAGGATAAAATTATGTGTTCCACAAATCTGTCATCCCCCCAAGTATTAAGTAAGAGGGTTTCAGAAATGTAAATTTTGTAATGTTTAATGTTAGGCTACTTGGTCTTGCTTGCAATGGTAGCTGAATCATATAAATTTCTTTGTATTTTATCTTTCTTCTGTCTTTAGGTGGTTTGAAGGCTTTAACTGGGAAGGTTTAAGAAAAGGTACATTGACACCTCCTATTATACCAAGTGTGAGTATAGCTGTATTACTTGTTAAAATATATATGCTGGAATCATAACTTAAGAAAATTGCTGAATAAACCCATTGGAAAAACAAGCAGGAGCTCTGATCCAAAACATAGAAATGTGATCTTATCTTATGTTGACATTTCCATGTATGCAGACTTCTGCTTGACTTCATTTTCAGAGAAATGAATCAGTGATGAAGCTTATAGTAAAATACAAAAGTTTAGGCTGAAATGTATTTCAATGAAATCACTACACCTTTGTTACTGAAAGCTTTTTTGTTCTTCTTCCAACTTGCATTGTCTCAGTTCTTCTTTTCATTTCTTCTATCACTCCATCAGTTTCTAAATGTCGCATTAGATCACAAGCTGTAGTATTCAATTGACAACTTGTCATACTTTTTCCAAATTGGCATAAATAAGTAGGATGCTGCCTTTCTTTTTCAAAGTAAATGACTTTCTAGTTTGACTTGACTTGAAGCCTACAAATCACACAACAGTTGTTTAATTTCCAAGCAGAGCCATGTTGATGCTAACAGTAAATATCAGTACCAATACTGATAATAGGGTCCTAAAAATACAGTTGAAAGGGGAAAAAAAGAAAATACCTATTCTTAACTGTAGGTGTTTTCCCTTTGTTTCCACTAAATTTGTAAAAAAAAAAAAAATGAAGATCAAGTGACCTTCTGTTAAACATGAATTATACACATGGATTTAAGAACATCTATTTCTATATCAAACATAACTCTCTTTAGCATAACTTTTTAGCATACCTCTATTAAGACAGACAATTACTGAAAAATAGTCCTGTTAGATAAATACAAAGGACAGCCTTCTTGTAATTGTGGTCTGTATAAATTATTATTATGAGAGCTATGGACATTCTAATTATCATTTTTCCCACAAAATAAGACCTGGTCTTTTTTTATTTTTATTTTTTTTTCCTCCAAAAGAGGCACCAGATCTTATTTTCAGGGAGGTGTCTTTTCCACCGACCTCGCAGCAGCAGCACTGACAGCCCCACCCATCCGGGCCCACTTCTGTGGCCGAAGGAGCAGCTTCATTTTGCAGCTGAGAATGTAACTCCGGCCTGCATTTCACCATCAGAGGCCTTCTGCAAAGGCCTCTGCAGCCGAGAACCGAGCTACGGATTGAATCCATATCTCAGTTCACGGCTGCAGAGGCCTTCCGGAAAGGCCTCTGATGGCAAAATGCAAGCCGGAGCTCCATTGTCAGCTGCAGAATAAAGCTCCTCCTTCAGCCAGTGAGGCGAAGCAAGTGTTGATCCATGGGAGGCTTGTCTGCAATTGTAAGCTCCACCCCCCACCCTTGCCCTAGCTTGACTTTTAGGCATGTGCCTAGCTCCAAAACTAGGGCTTATTTTGGGGGTAGGGTTTATATTAGACCCACCCTCCCCCACCACCACCACCCAAAAAAATCAAGGGCTTATTTTCGGGGTAGGTGTTACTTTTGGGGAAACATGGTAATCTTGGGTTAAATTGTGGTGATGATTAATGTGTTTGCTTTTCTTTGAATACACATTACTTCGTTACAATTTGCTATTCTTAGTTTAATTTTCTACATATTATTTGAATTTTACTACTTATGAAATAAATATTTCCTATCAGATTTGAATTTATACCCATAGTGAATACAATTTAAAATATTTGACTTCTCTGATTTATTTTCACACATTCCCGATGAAATTCTTGAATTCCTTTACCTTGTGTTTCAACTAATACATAGAAAAGTACATAATACCTAGGGATCTGTAACTTATGTATATTTTCCCCAATAACAATTTACATATTCAAAAGTAACTAATTATATTTGAATGAATGTACATTTCAATCTATTTAGGAATCGTGAAGGTCTTTTTTCTGAAAATAGTAAGTTTTCATCTGTCATTCATTATATCATTGACCCCCAAGCAATGACAATTTTCAGGAACAGTACAAGAAGATTTAATTTATTTTGGAGGAGAGAGAATACTTGTATTGTCTTTATTGTATTGGCTTTTAATCATTAAATAGATACTTCACTACTAGTACTACTATGAATATTACATTATTCCTGGGAGACATACAAATACAGATATTACTGGAACACTCTTATCATATCATATTACTTACACCTTGTTAATTTTAAGTCCATTTTTTGAGTCCACTTTTCTAAAATATAAAATATATTTTATATTTATTATTTTAAGTTTAAATTAACCAGTAGCAGCTTATTCTAATTTATTAGATTCCTTTATAAGTCTTTCACGTTCTTGCAAACAGATTTCTCCGAAGTCAAATGATATACAAAAGCACTTGACATTTACATAATGAACTACCATATTTAATTCAATAAATATGGGATCATACAGTATCAAGTAAATGGAAAACATCAACAATTTGTTTTCCCACTTTCTAAACTTTTATTGACTTTTTATCTATCTGTCTTATGTGACATAAACAAACACGGACTTTTTAGATGTGGACAAAGGCAGCAATTTCTTTCTCCTCTGTCATTGCTTATATGCCTTTTCTAAACAGTTCTACACCAATGCTGTTTTTCACATGTAACCTGCCATGCATCTGCATTAAATCCCAGCTTTGTAGATCACTTCAAAGGGCTGTCAGTGTCATTAAGAAATCTTTACATTATTTTGTCAAACTCTCCATTCTAGTTAGGAAATACTAGGAAGCCAAAGCCATTCATTTGAAGGTTGCTTCAAAATTACTTTCTAAATGTACAATCACCCTGCTTTAATCATAAAAATTTATGGGGTATCCATTATACCCTTTCATCTTTTCCCATCAATTTTTTTCATTATTTTTGTTCTGAACAATGCACTTTGCATAGAAACACCCTTCTTCTTCATCTTCTTTAACTCCTCTTTTACTGCTTCGGGTGTCGAGGGAGTAGAAACATCCAAATCCACGATATTTCCATTCACATAGTATTTTTTAATAGTGCTACATAGAACAATATTATGAATGAAAATGGCAGAATCCTACATTTATGAACTGTCTAACTCTTACCGGCCAACATGAATTCACAAAGTGGTATAAAGAGCTCATAGCTGAAATCAGAAAATTGTTTAAAGATTCCAAATGCAACAACTAAAACTACCAATAGTTTAATTTCCTTCATTGGACAGGTTGCATCTCCAACTGATACAAGCAATTTTGATAGCTTCCCTGAAGACAACGATGAACCACCACCTGATGACAACTCAGGATGGGACATAGACTTTTAATGTTTTTCTCTTACCTGCTTCTGCCTTGCTGAAGACAGCTTCCTGAGACATGGCTGCCAGCAGACCTGAAAGATTTGGGAAGGATTCATGCTCGGGGTCACCATGATGCCTTGATTGATGCTGCTACAGTAATTACAGTGGCATTAGAACTTCTTGTTTAGATGACAATAGTGCTCTTCACATGTTTTCCGTTTGAATTTAACACAGCAGTTGACATGGTGGTCCTGAAGCAAAACCTTTTCCACCAATAATTTACATGTGTTTTCTATCATGGTACTGAACATGCTATGCTCCATTACAATTTGAAAGTTGATAGAATGAGATGCACATAATTCTAGCTGTAAGTTCATTTTCTTTATTGCTAAATTTATTCCAAACTGTTAAATACTGTAGCCGATTCTATGCTGTAGAATCTATGGCACAGTAACTGGGGTACCCCAAAACTGCAGGTAGAGTGCATTGAACCTCTTAAAGCAGGCCAAAGTGTTAAACTAAGGAGGACCAGAAAAAGTGGAGCTCATGTCAACGTAGTGCTATAATTTTCTTTTCAAGCAGTGCACAAGACAAGAATGAATGTTACCTTTCTCCATTTTTAGTTCTGATATGCTTTTCTTCCCAATTGATAACAGAAGCACAACTGCTACACTTCCTGTTAAACTGTTAAGCAAGTATGGGTCAGTCAATCCTCATATTATATGTCTGAGAACTTACTTTTAACATTTCTTTTATGGATGCAGATACATAAGAGGATGTGAAAAATTGTTCATAAAACTATTTGCTTTACATATATACAATAACCATCTTGTAAAAGAAAAAGAAGAATGCTTATCCAGAGGTCCTAAAAACAAAATATTAACCGATGAGTCTATTAGGTATTTATAGTTACTCTAAAATAACAATCACATTGAGAGCCTCCCGAAGTTGCAAAATCCCCTGCATTATTATATAGGTGCTATGTACATCTTTCATCTGTGAAATAAAACAAACTTCCACACTCATTTTTCAGAAAACAAAATGTAGCAAGGAATTTCACTGTCAGTTAGAACTGTATGAGTGGGTGTATTCCTATGCACACTCATATGTGGGTGATACGTATGCATATTTTTAATGCTACTGTGCGGTACTGCCCTCACTTTGTTTTCTTTTCTATTCTTCCAGATCCCACAAATATTATATTTATTTTCTCAAAAGATAGTTAGTCAGTCTTTTCTTGTACAATAAAACTCTTACAGATCAGTCTACAAACATGGAACAATGTAATTGAAATGGAATGCTTCAATATGCACTTCCTTTCAAAAGGAGAATTAAATTCACCTTTAAATATGTCCTGTTGAAGTGGACAAGTCTTTAAATGGGTCCATCTAAAGATGAATTACATCTGCTAGTTATGAATCTTTTAATGATCAGTGCTACAAAACTAATTTGTCCATACTTGTTATCGGAATTCAGCATGTTCAGAGGACAGAAATGTCAAAAAGGCTATTATAGATAACTTTCAAGGTAATTTCAGCTAAGGCTTCCATGTATCAGTATGACTTTGTTAGCATTTGTCAATATGCTGTTGAAGTAGTCTTGCATCTGTGACAGCTTCTTAAATTAGTTCCACAAAAAGAAAACCAACAGAATGTCCATTTCCTTTGGAATTCTCAACAGAGTATAATGACTTGCTCTTTTCTCTGAATCCAGAAATACACCTCTGGTTTTGTCATCCTGCGTTAATTTAGCTTGCTTCCAATTATCTTTTCCCTGTATGTTGCCTAATACCATTCAGTTTATTTACTTTGCCCTAATTAGCATTTGAAGCTGTCCTAATAATGAGGACTGCATTCAGCTATGTTATTACCATATAGACTATAATGCTATTACATTTTACTGGAAATAAATTCCATTGAACTTAATGATTGTCATATCTGAGTAAACATGTGCAAGTTTATATTTTTCTTTTCTTCTGAAATTTATGAAATATGAATCATGGCTAGCTTGTACCACCATTTTCAATGATACCAAAATTTAGTTATTGTAATTATTTTACGATGCAGTACTGTGTATGCTTATACAGAAGTAAGACCTACTTTGTTCCACAGAACTTATTCTGAAATGGGTATATATAGGATTGTTATCTCAGTCTGGATCTAATCCAGTTTGTAGAACTTAGAATTTCCCTGTCGTTGGACAGTGCTATAAGATGAACTTGAAGCAAAACACTGGCTATTGAATACATTGCACTGGTTATATCTAAAGAGATTTGCATTGTCAAAATTAGTTATCCCCATAACTGATGCTTAGAGATTAGCCCCAAAACATTCAGAAATGAAGCTCATTGGCTACTGCCAATTATCACCAAGTTCTTGATTCAGTCATGTCGATAAAAAAAGCTCTCTAATCTAATACATTAGAACACAATATATGAGTTTGAAGGAGAAAAAAACAGAAAGAGATTATCATCTCTTCGTAACATTCTCACATATTTTATACAAACTTGTGGCTTTTTAAGATATTTAGTTTTGGGGAAAAAATACTGTTTGTCTGTTCCTAGTGATGGCTTCCACCAAAAATAATAATAAAGAACCAGCATCATCCAGGACTGGTACAATACAATAAAACAGTCCTGGATATAGCACTCTGCTTCCAATGTACATAGGATCAGGAGTAGAAATCTTTGATGTGGCATTTAACATCCAATCACATGTACATCAATCAGCCTTACTGAAATGGTTTAAGCTTCCAAACCTTAATAAAGGTAAATCTTTTTAATTGAGCTGGGAAGAGCAAGCAATAGGCCACTGTAATTTTATGGGATATATATTTTTTCCTACCCTGTCTAATGTATAATCTGGTATTTCAATTTTAAACTTTACAACCCTGTAATATAGCAAATCATAACCTTTCCTCATACACAGGAAGAAATATTGTTGGCCATCCTTGCAGAATCGGAATGGCAGTTTTCATAAGCAGTGAGCAAAATACACATGAAACTATTAAGGCACAAGTCAAGCAGAGATTAGAAAGTGTCATGAGAATAATTAGAATAAGTTAAAATAATATCTGGCTTCTTATGGAGGCACAGGCTGTACAATCTTGAAGAGCAGTAGTAATCTTCAGTCTTGTCAGTCCAAATTTAATTTTAGTCTATAGAAAAAAGGGGGGCAGGGTTTTTTTTCCCCCATGTTAAAATTAACCAGACATTTTCATCTCTTCTCATATCCATTAGATTCATTTGCTTGAAAATGCATGAAAGTATAAACTTTGGGATTCACTTTCAGAATTTTCTGTTGACAGTTTTGTCAGACAATTTTTGACATTCATAAGGGTGCCTATAGCTTGAGTGGAATATTCCAGAAAGAAACACAGCGCCATAGCTTAAGTTAATATAACATCAGTTTTTTAGAAGAACTCTGAGCTTCATTTCTATCTGATTGATTTACTTATAGTCAATTTTATGGGGTTTTTTAACAAATATACATCAGTGAGCGACTATAAGAACACTGCACTACTTGTTAGTAACTTCTACTGCTTCATTAGTCCTGCATTATTAATTGTATATAACAAGTCTAATCGAAACACATAATTTAGAATATAAACGATGCTGGAAGCAGAATTAATAGGGCTAAAAGATTTCTGTAGTCATTTGGGTTAAGTTCCCTTGTTTCTAAATTACATCTGGAATCATTAAACAAGAACCCTTTGCACTTCACCTCTAGCAAGTGATGTGCCTATCCTGAATCAATTAAAATCTAAAATGTATTCATTTCAACTCTTTGAGTTTTCCTATAAAATATATATAGTGGTGTCCAATCTAAGCAGTTGCAGTGCTAATAAGTCATCCTCAAGCACTCAGCTGACTAATAGTCACAAGTTTTAAAAATATTTATGCAAGAAAAGTTGCCGAATGAGCATGGTATGAATTATTATGCTTGATTCCTTCCATTTTGTCCTTGAACTGCACTCAATAATATATAATTGGTGTGGTGTGCACTTAATATAAATTTATTTTGTCATATGGCTCACTTGCATCTTCTTTACCAAATGTATTTTCAATAACTTAAACTAGCATATGTATAATAACAAACCCTGCATTTATAAGTAATATATTTTATTTACATATTATATATATATATATATATATATATCAACATACATGTTTATGTTTCAATGTTCTGTCTTAGTCCACATGTTACTCCTTCCATGCAGATCACACCAAAAATGGCCTCCCATAGTGAGTTTTCCATCCCCAGCAATAAGATTAAGTGCTACTCAACATGTAAATTAGGGCAATAATGTTGCAGATTTCTTGGTTTCGCTGAATTTAGTAGAGATGCTAACCACAAATTACAGCTGGGAATGGTAAACTTGTCATGGCCAAATTACAAGCTTGACCTGGCTAAAGTAGTATGTGGACAACTTATTATTTATGGCTATTAGTCCTTTGATAGATTTACTCATGAGTAAGACCCATTGATTTGGTATATTTTGTTCCCCGATAATGCATCTGAAATTGAGACCTTGCTTTTCCATAATAAGAGGTGCAATGGCATATCTGCATAAAAATGAGTTTGCTAACAAATTTAAGACACACTGATTAGAACTAAGTTCTAAAGAAACAGATGAACTGTAGCTCAATATAGGGCTGCCTTCTCCATATAAAATTATTTAATAATAGGACCACAGGAAAATATTTATGTAAATAGGCATTTTTTCGTGTTGATATTTTATGGTATACATATAGCTTTTTCTTTAGACCTTCATTGCATTATTTTCATTTTTCTTATTTGTAAGGTAATGTTTTTAGATCAACGTAGACTTGAATTAATGTCATAATTGTCAGTATTACTGAAGTTTATGTCAACTGTACTGTTGTCCATTTGTCCCATAGTTTAGAACATCATTTAGTTATTTGGCATTGTTGCAAGTGCCTTAAATTCATGGCATCCTATTAAAAAAAAATACAAATTTGGTGTTATGCTGCATGACCAAGACAAACACACCTCAAAATGTTGTCCTTTCTTAGCTTGCTGCGTTTTACAGTTCTTTCGGCTAACAGTTTATAAGCCTTTACTATATAATATTGATGAATTACAGAAATGATGAAGTTGTTCTCTTATTTCTGTTATAAATGTACCAGAGCTGTGTATCTGTTAATGAGATACAGCGTCATTTCTGTGAAATGTATAAATGTATGTGCAGGTCAAATTAATATATGACATACTATCAGTCTGTATACAGGTATTCCTGTTTGCTAAGGTGTGCAAATTTTAAAACAGTAGTGCGGTAAAACTTCAGACATGCCACATTTTGTAATAGATTCCATAGTAAAAAATTTTAAAAAAAATTCTAATCAGGCAGATTAGAGAATAAAGTTGACATCATAGCAAAAACTGGGGGGAGGGGGAAATCCTCTGATTGGAAAATCATTGACTGCAAAAAAAAAAAAAGGAATGAATGAATGAATCTTATTGCACCGCTGAACAAAACAGAGCCCATGCTTTCTCTGGGTTGGTTCCAGACTAAGTTACCTTTAGAGTAAACCCATTCCCATCAATGGGACTTACAGAACTTGTAATTTTCATTGTTAATGGTATACTCAAAGCTGGCTTAAATCTGAAATCAGTCCTATGATTTTATGTATATGCAAACTGTTTCTGAGACACCTTCTCAGTAGTATATCTAGAAAGTAAAACACTGAAAGCCTTGTCCTACTTCTCTATGAACAGTCTGCTCCAAGGCCTGAGACTTTGATGTTTCAGGCTTTAATAGCAAAGGGAAATTTGATTCAGAGTTGCCTACTAATGTACTTATTCCAATGTATGATGTTTTTACACATGGTGGTTTCCTTTATAATCCTAATGACTCTTTTTCTTCTCCATAAGGATTCTACACGAATGAGGAGGAGTTAGTTTTGTTTGTCCAAGAATACACTTTCATCAAATGGTCTTTGACCAGTTGCACTCTTTTGATGTAGACTGAAAAAAAAACCACCTTTTTATCATGAAGTTAACTGCTTTTGTTTTGCTCTGTATTTTCCCTGCAGCTGTAATTGCCGAGTGCCTGTTGTATACTTTATAGAGTTGAAATAAAAAAAAAATACTTTTGAATGGTGTTGTCCATATGTCATATTTTAGAGGAATTGTTATCTAAATCATGGCTCTATTATTTATTTTGTTTCTGAACTCTGATCTCTGCCAGACATTATCTAAGAAGTCTATTGTAATTAAATGAGCATTATTTTTTTCTTGTTGGAGCTTCCTTCGCATATAATCAGATTATTCTCTACAGATCAGATTATTCTATATTAAGAATTTTTATGAGCTAGTAGCTAGTTGTCCCTTAAGCCAAAGGATTTTGGCTTGTATCTTTAAAAATAATGTATGTTAGAACATAGTTTGTTCACTCTGTAACTATTTCACAGGACTGAGAGAACTACCACTAGGATCATGTTGTCTCCAGTTTATCTACAAATGTACATCCATAAGTCTTAGTGAAGACAATAAATCCCAATAATCAAAATTAATCAAGATCTCAAAGAGGAATTAGAAACAATGGGGTGTGTGAATTGACTGGTGGAATACTATTATTTATATGCTGTGTAGTAGCCAATTACCTATAAAGCTGGTTTAGTGTAGATTTCTTTTTAATAAAGATTATAAGGATTATAAAAGTTACATGAAGGGATCCTATGCATATTTCTCAAAAGTAGCTCAACTATTTGGAGGGGGTTTACTCTCAAATAACCATATTTAAGGATTTCCCTCTGGTATTGTTTTTCCACTGATTAAGAAAACTAATAATAGAATGAAATAATGATATATATGAAAAAGTCAGTTTTCAAAATAGGGTTTGTGAATACCAGTAATGGCCAAAAGAAAAGGGACAGTTCAGAAACAAAACTGAACCCTGAAACAGGAACAGT